GACGGCGAATTTCTTAAAATGTGCCAATAAAAAAATAATTTTAAACAAAGTGCCATAAATTTGAGAGAGGAGTGCAAGCTGGCACACAGCAAATGTTTGAAACCACAAATCCAAGATATCTAAGTGAAAGCCTTCTGCCCTTGTCTGTTGAACTTTAGACATAATACCCTTTGAACTATGACCAAGCTCCTATTCAGGTATCTGTTCTAGTTTTCAATCAAAAGAGAACTTCCAAAGTCATTTATGTTGACAGTATAATTTCCAACATGAAGGTTCACCAAATGTGCAATGTCTCATCTTACCAAGAGTATCTTCAGTTCCAGTCCTCCTACCTCTAATTTTCATCCCAACAAAGGGGGAACCATACTCTGGAGTTACCTGAGAACCACCCCGTATGACACATGGCTCTTTCATAATCTAATAATCTTGAACACAACATGAAAAAATAGATTACACTTCTCTCAATACAAACTGTGCCACACGAATAAAGCACAATTCTTCTATATATGCTTGTGAAAGATACGCCTCACAGTGGGTTTCTAAAAAAGTAAATAAATAAATCCCCATTCCCAAAAAGGAAACTATTGCATAAATATAAAGCCCTACAAATCTTAGGTTGAGGGCTCCAATGACATCATTTGAGAAGTCTTGTCCTTGCACCATCAATGGAGAACAGACAACATACTTTGAAGTTGGGCCATGGGAACCTATTCGCAAGGGCAGAAGGCTTGACTTCCTCACAGAAAAGATCCTCTCAAATGCAATTTTAATTTATTGTTTCTGGATATTATTTTTGCCAAGTTGCATTGTCACAACCATGAACAAGAAGCAACTGCAACCCATACCAAAAATAAGCAAAACTATAATTTAAGAGAGTATGTAAGAGTTACACTATATATAAACCTAAATATTAAACATTACATTAGGAACAGAATAAAACTTTTAACATGCTATAACTTTATATTGCTTTAGTCAGCAACAGCTGCCACTCTGCTGGGGAGCTTTCTGGCAGCGTGCTGCTTGCAGGCATTGTCCCATTTCATTTTCACCACATCCCTCCACAAAGCATTGCTTTAGGCCAGCAATTTTCAGCCCGTGTGCTCAAAATATGCAACACCTGACTATTTGGTCTGGGGCACTGTCCTCTTTTTCCTTAGGTTGTCAAGTAAAAGAAGTGACAAGAGCTAACAGAACAATAGCCGTGCGGGGTGACTGAATCAAAATTATACCTATTTTTTTTTTTGGTCAGACTGACAGAAATACACTTTTTGGTATACTGCAGAATTTTAGTAATTCATTTATGTGTGCCATGAGAAGAAAAAGGTTGAAAAATGTTGCCTGAGGCTAATGCTACAAACTAATGTATTATTACTCTCATTAATTTTTTAAGGAATTGAAAATATTTTGAAGTTTTGGAAATTTTCACATGAATTTGGTAAGAGTATGATCAAATGTTCACTGAGTCCCCACTAGGTGCCATGTACTGTTGTTAGCTATCAGGATACAGAAACCCCTAAGAAAGTTCTCGTTCTCAAAAAAACTCAGCAGTGTTGATGGATACAAGTACAGTGTTAAACCATATTACACAGTGGAAAATATAATAAACAGTGAGGTGTAGGGTATTATAGAAGAGAAGAATGACATCTAAAGCCAGTGGGTGGTAGGGGAGTTTACTGGAGGAAGCGTAGTGAACAGCTGTCAGCGGCAGGGGGTGGGCTGCTCATTCCAGGCCGACTGCAAAACCTGGGCACCGACCAGAGGCAGGAAGCAGTGCAGTAGCATGGTCAACGGAGGGCCCACACGAAGGTTAGGGTTGCTGAAACATGGAGTGGGAGGCAGGAAATGGTCACAGGTACGGATGGGGAGGTAGGCAGGATCGAAATCGTGAAGTTTAAACCAATGAAGGGTTTGAAGAAGGGAAGTGACATGCTCAGAATTATCCGCTAAGTCCCTCAAGGGTTGTGTGAAGCATGGACTTGGAGACAGAGCCATGGGTTTCACCTCCTGGCTATAGAGCTCATTAGCTGTGCGAACTTTAACAAGATAGAAAATCTTCCAAGCCTCAGTCTTGTCAACTGTAAAATGAGAAATAAATGAGGTAATGAATGTAAAGCACTGGAACACAGTAAATGTTTAATAAATGGTAGCTATTATTATTAATATTATAAGCTTAGAAGTTCAGAGATCCATGTGGGAGTCCAGATGAGACATACTGAGACCTTGAATAAGAGTAAGAAAACAGGAAAATGTGAGATTTAGGAAAAAGAATTGACAAACATTGATAAGCAGCAGATTTTAAGAATGTGGATAATTGAGACTGAGGCACCACTGATGAACTGTAGGTCTAGAAAGGGCGACTGAATGGCTGGTGACTCGTTGTGCCCTCAACAATATGACAGGCGCAAGTTTGGGAGTCTGAGTTATGTTGAGGAGAAGGTGTGTTTTCAGGAATGGGTGCCCAGAAGACCAATGGATGAGTCTGGAGTCTGGGGTGCAGGTGCAGTTTGGAGTTAGAGAAGCAGGTATCATAAGCCTCTCATACCATGAGAAGGGAAATAATCACCTATACAGGGTGTGTTCAGTCAGAAGAACAATGAGCTAGATCACACCCTGGGGACCCTCACAATTTAGGGACAAGGGGAGAAAGAAAATCCCCAAAGAAAAATAAGAACCACAGAAGACAAGAAAAGCTGGGAAGGCTCTTTCTAGTGCAAGCTAAAGGAGCAGGATCTCACAGAGGGACTCAGTGGTGGTGCCCACTGTCGTTCAGAAGTCCAGTAAGTTCCACGCATCCTGAGAATTTAGCAGAAACTGCTGATGTTAGGGGGGCAGTTTTAGTGGGACAATGAGGACAGAAGCCTGAATATTAGGTTAAGATATAAATGGGAGTGAGGACGTAGAGTCCAACATAAAATTTGTAAAAGTTTATGAAGAGTAATTGTAGAACTGTAAGAGAGGAAAGTAGGGTCAAAGGTTACGTTAAAAATCATTTTTAGGATGGAGCACTCTGAACGTTTTGTGAGCAGAGAAGGAAAAGGCAGATGACAAAGGGTGATGATGTGGGAGACAGAATCACTGACAGACAAGGTCTCTGAGGGAATAAGAAGAAATTTTTAAGCATCAACTGTGTTAGAGGCACCTGTCAACAAACCATCAGAGCGGAGTCTGACATGGATGCTGGTCTGTGGAATGCCTTCTGCAAGAGCACTTCAGAGGGGGGACTGAGTTCCCTGAACCCAAGCCTGTGCCTGCACACCCCTTTATTTCCAGTGCCCAACACTGTGTCTGGCACCCACCTGCTAGACATTCCATATGTTTTTGGTATGAATGAATAACTATTCTTGTCAGAAACTTTACTTCAAGGGGCAGAAATTTTGAGAGGCATGAGACTATACTCTAAGACAAATAAAGAGAATATGCATATTATCATACAATAAAATATTAACTAAAATAATAGTATACATGCTCAGAAAACATAGGCATCTAAGAGCTTTCTAGGTAGCTGAAAGTTCAGAGAGTTGGGGAGAATGGTGGCACAGGGTTCAATATGTGGAGGACTGAAATGGTTCCAGAACTCTCTATGGCCAAATATATCTCCTACTCTGAAAAACTTATCCTTAAAATTCATTTAATGATTTAAGAAGGGACGATTTTTTTTCATCTTCAAATTGTAGATAAAAGATTAAAAAGGAAATACGTGTGAGATTATACATCAGCAAAAAACCATTCACCATAAAATCACATCAAACAGGTTCTCCTCAGAATGGTCTGGGTCCAAGTGAGGCGCCACTATTTGCTGGCTGTGTGACCTGAGTCAGGACCCTTAACCTTCTCTGGGAAAGCAGACCATGTGATAGATGAGTCCCCAAGTTCCATTCAAATCAATTGCTCAAAGGTTCTAAGGCAGCAATTCTTAACCTTCTGGGATCACACACTCCTCTGAGAATCTAATGAAAGCTATGAATTCTACCCACCCAGCCCCCAAATAAACATAGAAAACGCATACGAAATTCTGCAAACCATTTGAGAAATCCCTGATTGTAGACAACTCTTTATGACAACGATTATGAAGGTACAACTCTTCATAATGAAGATGCTCTGTCTTCCTTAGTAATGGAGTCAGGTACCACAGTGACCCCTACACAAGACCCATGGCAAACATTCCACCTGAACTATAACTTTCCTCATCTCTGAACTCCTCAGTGGCAAATGTGGTGCCCTGAATACGTTAAGAACCCGCTTAATTTGTGAATCAGGGCCATGAGGGTTTGAGAGCATAGTTCTTGAGTTTTCAGACCTTTAGTGCTTCTGAATGAGTACCAACTTTAAACCTTGCCTTCAACAGTGGAGTCTGGATGCATGGCAACCACTACGAACTTACTATAAAAGGTCTGTCAATTTCTAAAACTGATTTGCATTTAATTAAAAGGGTTCAGCTACCCCACTCTAGAAGCTATACCTCAGTTCCAATGACCCTTACCTTTCCCCCAAGAGAAAACACACCATATCTGCTTTTAGCAGAAACCCCTTATATTTATAAAACCCTTCATACTTACAGGTTTCCAATCCCTCTCAGATATATTAAATATTCTTCTGGGATGTAGGCAATATATGCAGTACTCCCAATTTACAGGTAAGAAAAGATAATATAGTGGTTAAGTGACAACAGAAAGGGTTTTCTATAGCACCAGGACTCCAGGTCACATTTTTATAAATAAGCTAGTATTTCTCTGTTACCCTTGTTATGAAAAGGTAGGATAGGCCTCTTTAAATTGAAGAGCAAAATAGCTGTGGCATTTTATGAAATGTCCAGTAGTAACATCTAAATAGTACTTATGATTTTAGAAACAAAAACCCATACCAATTTAAGCAATTTTATACATAATAATTAAAGTTTGGCTTTTTCAATAAACAGTAACAATCAAATCAGCCTATTATTTATAACTTTAAAAAGAACCAGAATCCACAGTACACAGTAAGAGTGATAGTTCTGTACTTACCTATTGCACAATGTAAAATCTAGAGGGAAAAAAAAAAGGGGGAAAAAAGAAATTTAGAAAAGATAAAAAATATTATAGCTTTATTTGATATAAACTAGTCTTTCAGGAAGTACAGAGCAGTATCTGCCAGGAGTACTGAATATGAAAAACAAACATTCCATTTTTAAACTTGGCTGTGGGCTATTTAATAAAATGTAAATTCTTGTTCAGTTTTTTGTTTGTACATTTTTAGTTTATTTATCTACAGAAGATTTCCTCTGGAGTAAATATCACCCAGTAGTCTATTAGATGTCAAGGACCTCTAATAATATATAAGCTTATAACAGTAGTTTCATAAGTATGTATCTCCCACATCTCATATTCTACAGAACAGAATTGTCACAGATGATAGAGCACAGGCTCAGAAAAGCCTTGCTGGCTCCTCTGCCTTCAACACAGACATTCATTCTACAAAGCTCCACCCTTCATTCCTGTCTTGTCTCATTTCAGGACATCCTTACAGGGATGTTCCTGGTCTAATCTCTAACTCTGCATCTCTTTGAGCTGCAGATTTCAAACAGTCTGTGACGTCTCCGTCCAGCTGTACTAGCAGTAGTTCAAACATGACAGGCCTCAATGATAAGCAACCAACCTCCTAGTCTCTCAGGTCCACCTACTCTTTCCTTCCCCTCACCTGAAAGTCCAACTGGTTTCCAAGTCCTGCATACTTCCAGCATCTATCTTCCCTGTTCTTTTAAATTCCAGTGCCTGGGAATTTAAAATTCCACTACTATCTGTTCATCTCAATGGCCATCCCACAGGCCAATTTAGGTTCTTCTAAATCCCCTTCAAAGACTCCTATATACGGCATTGCTTTAACCCTGGTGACGGTGGTAAAGAAATAATTTGAAGCCATCTACAACACTGAATGACCAGTTTTGCTAAATGACAGGGCCTGTCAGCTACTATAGTGCATCTTAGAATTGTACTTCTCTAGCAGTCGTCATGTTGTTTGACCCTAACAATTACTCTGGCAGATGGGCAGGGGGTATCTCTACAAGCAGATGAGAAAACCAAGGTTCCAAGAGGCTGACAACTTGCTCAAGATAGTAAGTGTTGTCTAGGGTCAACAATCTGGGTTTTATTTTACTCTACCGACTTCCCATCATAGTATTTCACTGTACATTAGCTTTTTGAAAAAAATCATGTTTATTCTATTAGAATAGTTTCAGTTTTTCACCCTTTGCCCTCCTCTGCCCATCCCACCCCACCCCCTTCTCCCACAGTCAGTTCCCACTTTGCTGTCTATATACATGGGTCATTTATACATGATTTTTGTTTAGTTCCTTCTCCTTCTTTCCACCATTGTCCTCCTTCCCCCATCCCTTCTGGTCACGTTTCCATGCCTGTGGTTTATTTGGTTCATTAGTTTCCTTTGTTGAATAGATTCCACTTATAGGTGAGATCATATGGTGTTTGCCTTTCACCAACTGGCTTATTTCAGTTAGCATAACATTCTCCAGTTCCATCCATGCTGTTGCAAAAGGTAGGAGTTCCTTCTTTCTTTCTTTTTTTTTAAATGCAGATTTATTTATTTATTTATTTATTTATTTATTTCAATGTCAAGATCCATTATAAAATATTAAAAAATTTAAATCCATTATGAAGTCTCAGCAATCATGACACCTGCACAGAAATAATCAAGTAGGTCAATGGAGTATAACGAGCATTCTGGAAACAAACGTATATATCTGTCTAACGATGTAATATATGATTCAATTGATACTTCAAAATCAATGGGGGAAATATGGCTTATTCAACCAATAAGATGCATGGACCACTATTACTTGAAATAAAACAAATACAGAGCCCTATTTCACACAGTACACAAAAAATATTCAGGTGAGTGAAAAATCAATATGTAAAATCTAAGGAGTTTGAGGAGAAAATATAAAATAATATTTTTCTTACCCTGAAGTAGCATATTCAAACCCAGAAGCTATAAAGTAAAATATTGACAATATGACTATATTAAACATTTAAGACTACACAGTAATATTCATGTAAAAAAAGTTAAAGGACAAGCAATAGAATACAAAAGTATTTCTATTCTTATAGCTGCAACACAGCTATAAAAGGGGTAATAGTTTATTTGGGGGGGGGTTTTGTTTTTGTTTCTGTCTTTTTTAGGGAAAAAGAAACTATAAACATTTAATCAAAAAAGGGATAAAGAATACCAGAAAGTCATTGAAGGCTTTTTAAAAATAATAGAAATAGGCAAGAAATGCACAAAAACAGGTTTAGTGTCAACAAATAATAAAGTAACAATTAAAATAACACGTCACTGTCACAGTCAGATTAGTAAGTATTCAAGATACTGGTAATATCAAGTATCGGTGACTGTGAAAGGAACTGGGTATTCATAGACTTCTTCGTCTTCTTACAGCAGTCCCTTTAGCATACCTTGCAATGCTGGTTTGGTGGAGGTGTATTCTCTTAGCCTTCTTTGGTCTGAAAAGCTCCTTACTTTGCCTCCCATTTTAATTGAGAGCCTTGCTGGGTAGAGCAGTCTTGGTTGCAGGCCTTTGCTTTTCATGACTTGGAATATTTCTTGCCATTCCCTTCCGGCTTGCAGTGTTTCTGCGGAGGAGTCAGCTGCTGGCCGTATCGGGGCTCCCTTGTATGTCCTCTTTCTCCCTTGCTGCCTTTAGGATTCTCTGTTTGTCTTGGAAATTTGCCTTTTTCATGACGATGTGTCTTGGAGCGGGCCTCACTGGGTTCCTCTTGAACGGGACCCTCTGTGCTTCCTGGACTTGTGTGACTTTTTCTCTCCTCAAATTAGGGAAGTTTTCCATCATGACTTTTTCAAACAGGTTCTCTATCCCTTGCTTCTCTTCTTCTGGAATCCCTATTATTCCGATATTACTGCGTTTCAGGTTGTCCTGCACTTTCCTCAACGCCTCTTCGTGCTTTTTGAGTCTTTCTTCATTTTCTTGCTCTTTCTGGGAGCTTTTTTCTACCTCACCCTCCAGCTCGCTGATTCGACCCTCTGCTTCATCGAGGCTGCTTTTGATTCCTTCCATTGTGTTCTTCAATTCAGAAATTGTACTCTTCATTTCCTCTTGTCTCTTATTGATAGTTTCTATGTCCCTTTTCATGCTGATATAGTTTGCAGTAAGTTCCATGTAGTTTCCCTGTAGTTTTTGGTAATTCTCTCTGAGCTCACTGAGTTAATTGAGCTTCCTTAGAACCCTTGTTTTGAACTCAGTGCCTGATAGCTGACTTGCCTCTATTTCATTTAGTTCTCTTTCTGGGGATTCCTCCTTTCCCTTCGATGGGGGGTGGAGGGTGTTGTTTCTTTGTCTTCCCATTATTTTTGAGACTCTTCTTTTTGGCTTCTGCCTCTTACATTGATCTGCCTTGAGTTCCTGACTTTGTGGTGTGAACTTCTGTGGTAGGAGACCGCTGTTCTTTTTCTTTCAGGATCTGCCTCTGATGATGTCAGGTGTTGATCCCGTCTGACCTTAGGCAGTCTGTTCAAGACTTCCAGGAATCTACTGTCTGGTTTTCTCCTTTAGCTGTTAATCTAGTCTCTCTTTATTCAACAGGCTGGCTTAGAAACACCACAGGGCGGGGCAGAGTCCCTCCTGGGGGTGGGGTTATTGGGTCCTCTCACCCTGCTGCTGCCACTCAAGGGAGTGTGTGCTGAGCCAGATGGCTGCTGAGGTATGTGGGAGGAGTCAGCACCGGATCCCACCAGCTACTCTCCCAGTTCTCTCCCCAGAGCCTTCTTCCCCAGTCTCTCCTCAGGCATCTCCAGTCCACTCTGTCCCGACCTTTGCTGGAGGCCTGGGTCAGTGGCTGCAAAGAAAATTTTATGTGTTGGCCCTTTAAATGGCTCTTTGCGTCTCCAGCCGCTTGTCGCTGGCAGAGAGCAACCCTGCTGCTTTTCGCAGCTGGCTGTTATCTGTGTACTTTTTGGGCCCTGGTGATGTAGGCTGGAGATCCCTGCTTACAGTTTAGACCCCGCTCTTCTCATAGGGATCCAACTGGCCGTTTCAATATCCTTCTGGTGCTGTGGCCCGTGGGGGCCCCTCCTGCCTTCTCGAGCCTCTACTGCATTCCTTACCAGTGAGGTCGTGCTGAAGCTGATTCTTCTGCCTGCCTGAGGTTAAAAGGCTCCTCTCTTGCTATTGTTCAGTTGTTTGCTCCAGGTGATTTCTCCACAACTTAGTTGTAATTCCAGTTTGGTCGTGAGAGGTCAAGTGTGTCTTCCACTCACTCTTCTGCCATCTTGATTCCTTTCCTCATTGTACATTAGTTTTATATCGACAGAGGCCATAATTTGACAAGGCATAGCTATCTAAAAAGCTTGACAAGACTCCTCAAAAGATATTACAGTAGTTTCCCCTTATCCATGGTTTCAATCACCCATGGTAACCACAGTCTAAATACATATTTTAGAAATTCCAGAAGTACCATATTTTGCTGGGTTTAATGCACTCCTGTGTATCATGTGCGCCCATGGTTGTGGGCATTATAAATGGGTTTATTATGCCCATTGTTATACCCACAGTATGTAATCATTATACCCACATACATTGTACATCCTTATCTTTCCCTCAAAAATCTGGGCAAAAAAATACACATTATACACAACAAAACACGGAAATTCTTAAGTTTTAAATTGTGCACTGTTCAGAGTACTGTGATAAAATCTCTTACTGTCCCACGTGTTCTGCTGATGTGAATCATCCCTTTTTCAAGCATTTCCACGCTGTATGTGCTACCTGCCCATTAGTCACTTAATCGTCTTCTGGGCTATCAGATTTACTACTGTGATATCAAAGTGCTTGTATTCAAGTAACCCTTATTTTACAATACTTTATTTACCAATGGCCTCAAAGCCCAAGAGTAGTGGGGCTGGTTATTCAAATATGCCAGAGAGACGCCATAAAGTGCTTCCTTTACATGAAAAGGTGTATGTGTATAGGAAAAACAGTTCTGTCCAGAAGGTATCCAGCCATGTAATATGAAAAA